ACTCTGTGTTTTCGAGTAGGAACTGAGTTCTCAACTCGCGCTTCAAGTCCTCCCATGTGTCTACTCGACACCGACCTTATTGGATCTCCTCTCAACAGGTTCGCCACCAAAGTTTTGCATCCCCATTCAGATACATGGTTGCTATTGAAACTTTGGTATCTTCAGAATTAGGCCTTGTAGCTCGAAAGTATTGTTCTATGTCAAATAGTTGCAAGTCCACAAACAACTGCTCACCGGGTGTCGAGCGCGAAGGAAAGTTCCCGTCAAGTTAATATGAAAACTTATGAAGATTGTTTAATGCCCAATAATATACCGAAGCCCTATGTAGCCCTATGTCACCTAGGGGTTCTAGGGTACTGAGATGGTTAACGTTTCGTGTGTAGCTGCAGTTTACAGAAAACAAGCTGTGACACGCGAAAACGGAGTCATTTTGGGGCAGTTCGGCCAGACACGGCAAGCGATTGCACTATAGTACTGCAAACTATTGTTGCTTATATTTTCCAAGCAAAAACATATATAACCAAGGTAAAACATGCTGTCATGTCTCTGTACAAAGCATGCAAAAGCGACGAATAATTCGTTGAACGAAATTATTTCGAGTGTGCAACGACCGTTTGTGATAACACGATCACATCGTACCAAAAGGTTCTTCCTCAATAAGGTATCAACGATATCAGCCACTTCTAAATTATTATCTGAAGATTCTGAACCAAGAATTTCCTTTAGCTCTGGATGCTTTTGCAAAAAGACTGTAAAATCCTTCCCTCTAAAGCACACAACTCGTCTCTTGCATGATGGCCCATCTCGATTGCAGCTTCTTATTGTCTCTAACCTTCTCAGCAAATAGCTGAAAAACGTCTTTATTTGAAATTATCTTGTGCAAGAATCATTTAAGTATTTAGGCACCTTTTGTAAACAATGAACTCAGTGTTATGAGTTGGATATAAAATTCCAATCTATCAATTTATTTTAGAACAAGATAAGATGTCATGCAGCTTAACCAAAACCAAAATCTACGGACAAAGATTCTTTGGTATTGCAGCAAATTGGGCTGCTCAACAACCTAGATTTGACCATTCTTCTTTGACATGGGTGGAATCCTTTCCCCCTGATTTATCTGCGATACAACACAATGACCTTCACAGGTCATTTTGTATAACTTTGAAATCATAATATAATTTTCTTTTTGTGAAAAAAAAGTACTACTAGATGATAAAACTTTGGCCTCTCTTTTTTTTTTTTTGGAGCAATATAAATTTATTTGTTCTTCAGATCCTCTCGATTAAATAAAACGGAAGTTAATAACACTCAAGATCAACAACCAAAATAATCGAAGTAAACAATGCTTCATCTCATAGGAACTTCTAGCGAGGCAATGAAGACGAATCTTTTTCCACAGATAGAAACGATCGGGAAAGGAGAACGTAAATGGGAGAAGCGATGGAAAGAGAAGGGGGTCGAACCTTGGATGGGGTGTCGGGCGGATCTCTGGACTCGCCGAACCCTCCTCTCGTCCGTTGCTGATTTGGTCATCTCTCTCCCTCTCCCTCAAATTGGCTTCTCGTGTGCGTGTAGCATTTCATAAGGCATATTTTGGTCAAGACACGTTAGAGTCGATGTCACATGCCTGGTCAGAATCTGTACTAGGGCACTGTTCGACCCACGTACCACCACGCCAGTCCGAGAATCAGCAAGGGGAACACCCCTATACGCCAAGTCAGAATCCGTACCGAGATGCTGTTTGACATGTCTCATCCCGGGAATCTGGGGCGGCGCCATCTGACTTTGCTCCACGGATCCCGAGACGACGGCCGGTCAGAAGTGTCGTCTCAACTCTCGAAGATTATGGACCACGTCGAACCCGCGTGTAATCGACCCTCGTACAATAGTATAAAAGCCCCTGATCGACATCCGGTCAGGGAGAGGTAAAAAACAATTCAACCCACAACTGACTTACTCGTTGGAGAGGCCAAAGTCGAAATCACCCAACGAAGATCATTTTTGCAGGAAAGCGATCACCTACGACCGACATCCCCAGGGCAAGCCATCAACCGGTACTCGGACCAAGAGACACTGATCAAGACCTCGTCGCGAGGGCCCGATCGACCTCGGAATCCAGCTCGACCGACAGAAGACTTCCGATATCGACTCGTGGACCAGGCTGTGCTGACTCACCAACCACGACATATTTGTTCACCAAGAGCACTAAAATCCGTGCGATCGACCGAATAGAAACTGCGATTGAGGTGAAGATCGCCGGAGGCGACTACGGACGTGAAATTTCTGCTGCCGAATTAATTTCGGTCTGCTTGCGGTTACAGTGCCAGACTGAGAACGGCCGCTCAGCGATGGAAATGGGTCGGGTAAGCGAATGATATCGAAATACAAATCCAAACCCGATTGTCTAGCTATCCAAATCCGATATATCATCAACGATAAGGCAGATGCCGTTAATTAGACTACGGGAGTAAGTAAATGATGATAAATCAATCAACTCGACGGAGTATATGCAGGCAATGTGACAAATATACTTTGGTGAAATCCTGTCATTTCCATCCGCGCCGGAGATGCGTGGCTTTCTTTTCGTCGGAGTCACGAACCGATGATTCGCCGGGGTGGAATCAATCCGAAGACAGAAAGTCTTGTCGAGGGCCATTTCTAGCAACAAAATTTGTGGTACCCAATTACCTCTCCGTGCATTTGGGGTTATCGAATATGCCAAAGTCGGATACGAACGATGACGGAAATGTTACATTCCCTGTTGTTTAAACGTACATCTGTTCCATTGTAGAGTCACTTCGTGTTCTGCACGCAATCTTTTTCTACATTTTGGGCTGCTGCTGCAAGGAGAACATACGTCCGTCCAATTTCTACCAAGAGTTGTTTACGTAAGTATGTGTAAATATATCAATATATATATAATAGTTATATATTGGAAAAGATAATATATATATATATGTATATATATATATATATGTATATATATATATAATGTATAAATACCCTTAATATGTGCATTACTGGTCCGAGGTGGAGATAAGGGAGCATCATCGTGGAGAGACCTGTACCGGAGAGCATGGAGAACCCTGTTGCGGTGGGCATCATGGAGGAGCTTGAGGCCCAGAGCGAGGTGTGGAACCACATTTTTAGATTCATCACCTCCATGTCCGTCAAGTGCGAGGTGGAGCTCAGGGTCCCCGACGCCATCCACGCCCACGGCGGCAACGCAACTCTCCCTCAGCTGGCCGCCGCCCTCAGCCTCCCTCCCGCCAAGCTCGCCGACCTCCGACGCCTCATGCGCATGCTGGTCCACGCCGGCTGCTTCGCCAAGCAGGAAGACGACGTGTACGCCCTCACGCCATGGTCGAGGATCCTGGTGAGCTCCGAGCACACCTCGGTGGCCCCGTTCGTGGTGTGGATGCTCCACCCGCTCATGGTCCAGTCGTGGCACTCGCTGGGGGCGTGGTTCCACAGGAGGGCGCCCACGCCCTTCGCCGCGACCCACGGGAAGGGGATCTTCGAGACGACACGCGAGCAGCCGGGGTTTGCGGCCGTCTTCAACGAGGCGATGGCGAGCGACTGTCGGCTGGTGGGACAGGTGTTGGTAAAGAAGCATGCGGAGGTGTTGGAGGGAGCGCGGTCGATGGTGGACGTGGGTGGCGGCACGGGCACCCTTGCAGCGATCGTGGCCGAGGCCTTCCCGCACATGAAGTGCACCGTCCTCGAGTTGCCCCACGTCGTGGCCGCGGCCGCGGGCGCCGGCAAGCCGAACAACTTGGATGTTGTTGGGGGAAACATGTTCGACCATATACCATCGGCTGACATTATGTTACTCAAGGTACGCGCAACAGTAGAGCAAACTGTCCAATTCGTAATCCTTGTGAAGCAACACATGCCATATATTGTGTGTTCTACAGCTTTCTCTAGAAAACAGAAAACACAGTAAAAATAAAAGCATATATATAAACACAGTAAAAATAAAAGCATATATATATATATATATATATATATATATATATATATATATATATATATATATATATATATATATATATATATGATAACAAGTTTGGAATTTTTTGTTCCTTGCTTTTTAGTCTTTGCTCTTTAGTCAAGAAAGAAAGCAGCTACTAGTAGTGTTATGCAGTAGAAGATTATGGCATCAGGAGAAAGACTATATATATAAGCTTATATGTATGGATCCAACTTTATACGCTGCAGTGGATCCTGCACGACTGGAAAGATGCGGAATGTGTGAAGATATTAAAACGCTGCAGGGAGGCAATACCATCCAAGCAAAACGGAGGCAAAGTCATCGTGATCGACATTGTTCTCGCGGGAGACGAAGGCAGCAAGTCTGATAAGTCGAGGGAGTCACAGTTGTTCTTAGACATGCTGATGATGACAGTCAGTGGAGGGATGCAAAGGGAGGAACACGAATGGCGTAAGATCTGTACGGACGCTGGTTTTTCGAGCTACACGATCAAAGGTATGGGATTGCGTTCCTTGATCGAGGTTTATCCTTGATGTTTATCGCAAGTGAATTTTATTAATGGGGGTCAGTCAAACAATAAGCTCCTCCAACAATGGTAAGTTGAAAACATCTGTATGTTACCGAATAAGGTGATGCAAGATTCAATGCCTTCTTCAGCAGTCTTAGATTCAATGCCTGAGAGTCAAAGTCAGCGATTGTTTGAAGTCAACCATATGTATGACCTATGAAAGTGCCAAAAGAATAAAAAAACTTGATGACCTATCAAGGCTGTGGCTATGCTATCAAGCATTAAAAAAAAATTGATGTCAATGTTCAAGAATTCTTATGATTACTGTATAAAATTTTATAGAAAATGGAGAACAATCTTATGGTAAAATGAATGTATGGATCAAAGTGACAACAAATATATGCAAACCGAAAGAGAAAAAAAAAGAGGGTATTTTTACTAGTGCAGTCACTGTTTACTCGAAGAAGACGATATCAACAGTGCAGGCAAACTTGATAATGAGATCAAATCCTGGGATTCCTGCTTTATTTCTTTTGATGAGACATAAGAAAGAGTTTTAACTTACTAATGTTCATACTATCACATCTAATCAGCTTAAGCTTACAAAGGGTTTGAGAGAAAGCATTGCACCGACTCTTTTCATTATCTATTACAAGAATTAGATTTAGAGGCTGAGTGTCCACAATATTAGCTTGACGTTACAAAACTCAACTAAAACCAAAGGACTGTCTTCCATAAGGCAAAAAAAATTTGGCTCCATAAAAAAACTGACATAGGACAAAGAATCGGATACTACATCGGTTCCAGCCAAAAAAAAATTTCTAAAAAAATAAAAATCGACTTACCATAAAGTATTTAAAATCAAAACAATGTTTTATACAAAAGTAAAGAAAACCAACTTGAGATAAAAAAAAAACTAACATGTGACAATGAAAGATATGGCGAAGGAGGACCAAAGAACTCACTTGGCAGTAGTCCAAGCAGAAATTTTCCTCTTCTTTCTCCTTCTCTACCTATTGATCCTCGGTCGAGTTCTCTGAATCCTCTAAGAATGCAACCAAGGTAATGAGTTTAAGATAACAACAACTTCTATTCTCATGAATCTACCAAAGTCAACAAGAAAACACTAGAGCATGCAGCTTTTGAAAATTACATCATCCTTTCTTTTCAATACCAAATGTATCTTCAATTCCGCTGCTCACCCTTTTTCTTCTTTCAGCTATCATGTTTGAATATGCCTGGCAAGCAGGATCAAAGTGGCTTCAGTAAGTTTCACATATATCCTATAAATAGCTGAAAATTCTGGAGATATAGAGTAGCAAGATCTCTATACTCCATATTAACTCAGGTTAAGAAACATAACAAGGTTTAGATTTTTCCTTGACCCGTTCCGATATGAATAAACTATGGAAACACATTCAATCTTATTTATACATATATTAGCAATACAATAGATAAAATATTTATACATATACCGGCCAAGAGGGTGGACAAAGACCTAGTGAAGGATATTCTTACCATGTGTATTCTTGAACCATACCCTGTATAAGCTGTTTTTATTTTAACATTTAATATGTTATTTCCCCAATTCTGGTTTCTATTTATACGATGATTAGATCTCTATGGAAACCAATATTAATAATTACTCTCAATAAGTCCCAACAATTCATTGGCCATCTCTTTCAATCGTCTCTGTCGCTTTGATCTACCTCTCCTCTTCCCATCTCATTTTTCTCTCTAAGAGGATATCTTCTTCCCTCCAATAAGAAAGTGCTTCAAGGAGAGATGTTAATCATATTAGAATTTAGAAGGATTTTGGAGTCCACAAGTTATGACACACACAAAAGAGGCACAAACTTATACAGTAGAAGAAAAGATAATATCAGCTGCTCAATTGATTTAGATAGAATTAGATTAATTCTTTATCAGCACCACCCTCTAAACTTATAAATATGTACAATTCTTAGATTCTTTTTCTTCTAATAACATATATATATATATATATACATATATACATATATATATATATACATATATATATATATACACATATATATATATATACATATATATATATATATACATATACATATATATATACATAAACATATATATATACATATACATATATATATAACAGGTATATCAAACGCTGATTAAGGAACCAAGATGATGCTTCATCTTTCTTATGTGTGATGCATTCTCAAAGTGGCTCCTAAGTACCAAAGTGAATTGGCTGGTTCCATTCACCTATATATACCCATCTTTTCTACAATTTATTTCTGCTTATTTTTCTTCATATCATACACTAAATCATCATATAAAGAACTTCAGTTTTAAGTTTTAAGGATAGTAACATACTAACCCCATAATTTGTCCAACTGCTATCTCCTGTTTTCTGCTGCCAAAAGATCATTGCATGACCAGAACAATTGCCTATTGCATCAGGCTCACACAATTGTGAAGTTGAGGATCAAATGTATGAACAATATTCATTTTACGATGGCCTCTTAAGCTTTCTCCCAGAAAAATTCATTGCATCATCCTACTTCAATATAACATCAAATGATTGCTTGTGGATCCCGATAAGTCCTAAGGGACCATAGGAGGTTTCGAGGAGGTTGACCTTTGCGGACAGACACGCAAGGGTGCCGCACGACTTAGGCAAACCTAGCTAAGTACATGACAATGTATATTCTTGAACCATACCCTACATAAGCTGTTTTTATTTTAACGTTTAATATGTTACTTCCCCAATTCTGATTTCCATTTATACGATGATTAGATCTCTATGGAAACCAATCTTAATAATTACTCTCAATAAGTCCCAATAATTCCTTGGCCATCTCTTTCAGTCTTCTCTCTCGCTTTGATCTACCTCTCCTCTCCCTATCTCATTTTTCTCTCTAAGAGGATATCTTCTTCCCTCCAATAAGAAAGTGCTTCAAGGGGAGATGTTAATCATATTAGAATTTAGAAGGATTTTGAAGTCCACAAGATATGGCACACATAAAAGAGGTTGGTTCAGTCACAAACTTATCAAGTAGAAGAACGATAATATCAGCTGCTCAATTGATTTAGATAGAATTAGATTGATTCTTTATCAGCACCACCCTCTAAACTTATAAATAAGTACAATTCTTAGATTCTTTTTCTTCTAATAATATATATATATATATATATATATACAGGTATATCAAACGCTGATTAATGAACCAAGATGATGCTTCATCTTTCTTATGTGTGATGCATTCACAAAGTGGCTCCTAAGTACCAAAGTGAATTGGCTGGTTCCATTCACCTATATACCCATCTTTTCTACAATTTACTTGGTGATTTGTCTGATTTCTGCTTATTTTTCTTCATATCATACACTAAATCATCATAGAAAGAACTTCAGTTTTAAGTTTTAAGGATAGCAACATACTAACCCCATAATTTGTCCAACTGCTATCTCCTGTTTTCTGCTGCCAAAAGATCATTGCATGACCAGAACAATTGCCTATTGCATCAGGCTCACACAATTGTGGAGTAAGTTGAGGATCAAATGTATGAACAATATTCATTTTACGATGGTCTCTTAAGCTATCTCCCAGAAAAATTCATGGTGTCATCCTACTTCAATATAACATCAAAGCACCCAATCAATATCAATCTTCTCTAAGATCGATCCAATTTTGGCCACATTCTCAATCTTATTGCCAGAAATTAGTCGAACTCAACTAGATTCAACCAAACTCTATCGAAGTTGGATGATTATGGCCCATTCTAATTAATTTGACAGCCTCAAAAGAAAAAAAAGAAGAAGAAGAGAATTTAGGTAACAAAGAACAAAGGTGAGGAATAGAGAGAGAGAGAGAGAGAGACCAGCCATTACAAGCTCAATAGCAGAAAACATTCATGTAGCTGACCCTAAATAGTTGGGAGATTACTACTACTAGTTAAGCCTGCCATTATATGTATGAAATAGAGGAGGCATAGCTGGTATTATGTTTGTTATTCACTACAACTACCACATTAACTAATTTTGACCAAATTTGTGAAGAAATAAAGATACTCCCACAGAGAAGATGTACTAAGATTCACAATCAATCCTATATATCATGGGTACTTCTCTCAAATAAATCTTTTTTTCTTTGTTTGTCTTTGTTTTACCTAATAGTTCACATGTATGGTGACTATTTGAATTATATCTTATTAGTTTTGTTTTTGCTGCATTTTTAAACTTATGATCAATCCTTTCAATTGAATTGTTATCAGCCAATGCTAATCCCAATACTAATCTTGCAACTCTGGAACTAAACCTTTCTTTGTTCTGTGGGCAAAATTTATCAATTGCAAACAAAACTGCTATAAGAAGAAGAAAATATCAAGGATAATAACAACATAATGACCCCTAAGAATAGACTCTTCAGTTCTTAAAAAAGAGTCTGTTCAACGTGATAAAAACCATGGTTAAACAAATCAAGCTTTGCTTGTAGAATAAGACATTTTAGACAGGTTTACTGATAAAATAGGAATGACTTTTATAGGACAGATTACAGTCATGATAAAAGATACCTCTATAAAGCCAGCTCTTAAAGACCGATGCATGTTTTATCTGTTAACAAATGTCGAAAAGCAATTATCTTTCTATTATGTTGATTCGGTCTACTCCCTTGCAGAATTAGAATATTCTAAGTAGATCCATTAGAAATAAGTGATATTTTTCAATAATTTTCAAAAATATGAAAGTAAAAAATGACAAAAAATGAAAAGAAAAAACAAACATAGAACCATTTTGAAAGAATGAAGCACTAATAATTTCTTATCTACAATTTTAAACATCTGAAAATGTAAGGGAAACAAGTAAATCATATCAGAGTTATAAGTTTGAGTGCAAAACCTTAGGATATGCATACAGAAAGATGTACCACCATCCACATATCAAAATGGATAATCCAACACTTATTGCTGCTGAATGAAGAATAGTCCAGCTACATGCAACTACTGCAACTCCAGTAAGCAATATGGTCCACGGCTGACACCTATTATGAGATAAATTTCACAACTGAAGTTAAATATGAGACATTATGTGCACTAGTTAAACCTAGGCAAAGAACATACTTTCCAGGTTTATAAACCCTACAGACATGGGTTCTATGCTTCCACATATAAATTGAATTGCTATTTCGTGCCCTCTTCAAAACATTCGTTCTTTCTTCTGTAAAAATAATAAGGTGTGTGTGACCCAAGTTTTTTGTTTCAGATTGGAGATGATGATATAGTCTCAGATTAGGATCCAGAGATCCAAGAGAGGTTCGTTTGGAGTCATCCTGAACTGACCACTCCACAGGAAGATCAAGCATATGAAACCATCAAACCCTGACCTTGCAATCGTAAGATAAGCAAAAATCATCTAAAATCGGCTAGGATATATTTCATGGGAAAGTAAGATGGGGAACCGGTAGACGCATTTTGTGCCAGGCCATCAAGAATTAGCCTCTGATAACCAGTCTCACTGAATCCAATTGGTCACAGTTCACTGTCATCAACTGGATCCCCTGGCTTCCAGAAATCAAGGGTTTCAAGATTAAAGACAGATACGATCCTGAATCTGATGACCCAAATCAAGATTGACTAATCCTACGAACCCTGCTTCTAAATGCTACCGCTAGAATTTCCTACGAGGTCTGTCCCTCTAATCATAAAAGTTATGACCGTCGAGAATCTCACAAGCCCAATTATAGCTATAAATCCATGTTAATTAACATAGAACACCATGACAAAAAAGCCTCTTCACCCGGAGTTTCTATGGGGTCGGGGAAGATTGAAAGGGAAAGAAGAAAAAAGATCCATAAACCTTCCCTCCCTTGTTTTCTTCCATTTCTTCAGACCAAACCTAGGACTTTCACAAGTTCGACCGTATACAATATTAAAGACAAGTAAAATAGCCTCCAACAGTGCCTAAAATTACGCCCTGAATCAAACAGATTTGGGTTTTAAAAGAACATGCACATGATATTTGATATGCACATCCATGATAGCCTCAATTTCGAGCCGCACAACACAAAAAAAGATCTGCAGCGACGAATCAGAGGCAAAGAACAAGATGGACTGACCACGACGGTTTGGTGTCCCAGACGGAGTCGTACTCGAGTGATAGGTAGTTGAGGTATCCGTCCATGTCTTCCACCACGCCATCCTCATCGAAGAACCGGGACTCGTCGGCCTTCTCGCCGTTGACGTTCGAGCTAATGCGGAAGGACTCGCGAGGGCCGCGCGCGGGAGCCGATCCGGCGGGTGAGGGTCTCCTCTTTCGCCGGGTAAAGAAAGAGGTGGAGATGGAATTCGAGGGGGGTTTCGACGGCAGGGCTGGGCGGCCGCGGAGCAGATAAGAGACGGAGGAGATGGGTAGCGAACGGACTGCTTCCATGGCTTCAACCGGCAGAAACTACCCTATTTTATCTTTTAATTTCTTTTTATATCTGCTAGGGTGCATTCAGATTCGTGTTGGAATGATGAAGGGTGAAACCCAGTGGCTCACTGGTTGGCTGGATCAGGAGGGCCACAACAGGGGCCCATCTCGGGGCTTTGGTTATTCCGTCGATTTCTTGATCCTTCAGAGGACCTGAAATGGCAAGCAAGCCCGCCGGGAAGAAGAAAACACCCGACCGACCAGTGCGGCCCCATTCCGCCACCTCCATCCTCAAGCTCTGGAGATTCCTCCTTGCACTGCTATCGTTTCTCACATGACGTTGTTTTGCGTCGAAAGATTTCTCTCCCGAAAATTTCTCTGGCACAAGCTCTGGTATGCAAGATGGAGGATCGAACAATCAAGTATCAATATATTGTTTCTTAATTGAAAGCTTACCACTCTTCCTCTCTAATCAAAATATTCAATAGCTTGAAATCAAGCGTTTGATCTCACGCCAACCATACATATAACAAACCAAAAAAACCTTACATAAATTCGAGAAACCTTCTTCAGGCTCGAGTTCCTGATAGAACCCCAAGAGAAACAAGACATACTCACCATCGCTGAAACGAAAAACCTAGTAACTCAGTCCAATTTTTCTTTACAAACACTTCAAGTGAGAGAATTTTTGTGGAGATTAGTAATAGAAGCAGCCGCCTACATAGCAACTTCAGCTGTGCGTATCTTCACCTTGCAACTGCCGAAATGATCCTGCCCGTCAACTAGAAGAAGAGAATGGAGTTGAAACTTGGAATGTATCGTCTTTCTTTCAGATCCCCCCTACTGCTTTACTGCAAAAAATTAGCCAAGACCTCGAGGGGAACAATAAGCTGGAAAAGTTACTTACATGTTATAGTTCCATATCCACCGAATAAGGCAGCGTTGAGAACTGTGGTATGTCATTCCATGCCGGTATTCCGTTCCAATAGCTTATGTTGAAGTTGGTACTACTCTTGTCGCCACTGTTGTTGCCGTCGACGTTGCCGAAGCTGTTGATACTTATTGCCGTCGAAGTCGGAATGGTGTAATTAGAACTCTCCGGCAACCATGCCATCGAACTATTAGTCCCAGTAGCAACGCATGTATTTCCGGATTCACTGCAGCCACAAACTTCATCTGTGGCTATGTCTGATACCTCGAAAGATATAAATTCCTGTTGGATCTCCAGTGGGCTACTGCTCTGTTTATGAGCTTCCCCTCCGAAGATCATAGCCAGCCTCTGCTGCTGAAGCTTCCAATGGAGGTCCTGGTTGATGGAGCTCAGGAACTCGATGGAAGATACAATGCTGCTGCTGCCAGCAGCAGAGGATATAGATGGACCTTTGGTCTCATTATACAGTACCCCTGCAGCAGAGATTGGGTAATTGAAGCTCGCCTGGGTGGTAGCATCAGAAGAGAGCGCTGCACCGCGCGAGATGTCGACAAAGTTGATGAACTGGTTGCTGTTGAAGACCGTGGATGTAGCCGGATCATGGAGCCCTGAGGCGGCGGGCAGACCTATTTGGAAGTCCATGGCCACCGAAGAGGGAAGTCCATCAAGAAATTTGAGGCTGCTGCCTGTTTCGGGGAACCCAGAGAGGGGAGCCGCCGGAAGGCGCGACGAGGCCGAGGATTTGGATTTCTTGTTCTTGCGGGAGCCGCCGCCCATGGGCACGTTCCGGAGCGCGCCACCTTTGGTCCAGTACCTTCGGCAGGTCTTGCAGAAGTGCCTTGGTTGGGAGAGGCTGTAGTTGTTGTAGTAGCAGAACTTGGTGTTGGGGGAGTCGCATCGGGGGCACTTGAGCCCTTGATGTCTCGGATTCAGTGCTGTGGCGGTGGCAATGCTCTTGCGGCTTTGCAGATCATCAGCCATTTTCGTTTCCGTCGTGGTAACGGAAGGAGAAAGGCCTCTGGAAATGACGAGGGGATTGGATATGGGGAAGAGGACAATGGATGGTTTTGTTAGTTTTCCTGCGGTGGAGGTAAAGTGGAGGCCCTATTCAATACCTTCATGCGTACATGGGATTTATAGGTAAAGGAAGGTTTGCTTGATACTTGTGATTGTCATCGAGTGGAAGAGGGGAAACTGGTCATGCAAGCAGACCGGAGGATGGTCTGGAGTTGTTGAGATGAACACGAACTCTTAATCGAGATTCCAGAAGAGAGAGAGAGAGAGAGAGAGAGAGAGAGAGAGAGAGAGAGAGAGAGAGAGAAGCTGCAGAAGAGAGAAAGGATCTTAGCCAAAGATGTGCAAGCAAAGACTAGGAAGGGAGAGCGGTGAGGGAGTAAGGAGAGAAATATTGGAGACACACCTGACAAGCTGTGGAACAAGAATCAGTGGAACCCTCTTCGTGTTGCACGAAGCTAATTTAAAATCGTGGCAATAACATTTTATCTCCCTCCACGAGTGATGCAAGTCGAAGCTAAGAGACAACATATTCGAATACCCAGTAAAATGACAGACCTAATTAACCTACGATTTAGAGTTTCCCTTGGAACCAAAAAAAAAGCTAGCGTTGGCCTATATTCGCGCACTCCCAGTGGAGGAGCCAAAAAGACAGGAGCAGACTGGTATACACGAAGCAAGCAATGACAGTTACCCCCCATGCATGCATGGGTGCGTACCCAGTAATAAAGCATCTGTCAGGCTTGATAAAGGTGAGTTCTGAACCCTGCCCTGCCACGGCCAATTATAGCAGTACTGCAGGCTCCTTTGTCCTCGGAGATCAGAAGCCTTCGTCTCCACCGTTTCTTACGCACTCACGTTGCACAACACATTCCGTCCCAGGAAAAGACTTGAGACCATTAGATATGGAGCACCCCTTTCTGTCTACTATCTACATGCTTGTCAGTAACGTATGATCAAATCTTGGCCTCTTAAAGATGCTCCTCCATTTTCTTTTGGAATTTTCATGGAGCTACAACTATAGCAGGCGACAGGCAACAGGTAGGACGAGCCGAGGGGTGGCAGGCTATGAAAGGGTAGGGGGCACTTCAGCTCTCAATCCAAGGAGGAGATACCCTTGCTACTCCAACGAGGAGTGACGGAGGCTTCGCCACCCGGCAGCAGGGCTGAAGTGAAAAGGCTATTTTCAGAAATGACAGCGTCCATGATTCGATCTACAGCGCCATTGGCATATTATGAATCATCCACGATGGTAACCCGCGGTGGGTTCGGTAATCTGGGTTTTACGGTTCCCATAGAGAGGGGACATGTTAGAGAAGATGCAATAATGCAGGGACGCATGCACACTGCATCACCATAGGATTCTGGTGTTCTACAGCTAAGAACAGATGGATGCAGTCATCGCCAAGAAGGCTCGTGACTGCAGCAAGAAGCCGGATTCCCGTGATTGGAGAGCCGGAGCTCCCAACTCATGCCCAACAAGCTCATCTTCCCCTCACGCCTAAGTAAATCCACCCATCGTGCTTCTTATGATGCTGGCGCATGCACATGCCCAGAAGAAGAAAAGAGAAGCTTCTGCCATTAAGTCTTGCAGACTTAATGCAATCGGGGAATACAAGACGTGAGTCGGTCACACAGGATAAGGCTGCTGCAAGGGCAGGAACTGGTCTCTGACAGTGACAGTAAAGATACATAGGACTGACACAACCTCCAACTGGATCCACTTGGCTAGCTGACCCAGGAATCTGGATTCAGGTCGATGATCTCAGAATTGTTTATGATCAGGAAGCCTTTGTGACGTTGATGTCAGATTAGAGAGTCGACTTAATCTTTGTTTTGCTCTGTCAAGCATCACGTCGGATAGGGAATCGGACAGTAGAATCCTCCTTCCCATGCTTAACTTACTTGGTTATAAGTTCAGCTTGTCCAACGAATGCTCAGTCTATGCTCGCGAAACGCAATCTGGTGAGACCCCTTATCTCGGTCGTCTGGTTTGGGATTGGTAACTCGAACCAAGTACGCGGACATCATGATCTTTATTAATCATGCAACCCAAACATAATCCACAGCGGAGGTCCACTTAAATAAACACCGGAAGAGTGGGGGAAATCGAACGGTAATCTCACTCTGTGGTCCCCAACACTCGTTGGGTCAAACTTGTAGGACTTGACCGAGTCAAAGCATGGATGGCAGCCTTACGCATTTGCTACTCACAGTGAGGCGGTACCATGTCAGGGATGGATGGAGACCAATGAATGGAGAGACAGATTGGATACCCAATAATTTCAACGGAATTATAGGATACCTTAACTCGATTAAACGAGTACCGCATGGAAACATAACGCTTTTTACTCAAAAAACCTTGATGAATACGATTTAAGCTTTCCTTCCCTTGAGGATTTTTTGGCTGAATGGATCTCACCGGCTAGAACAGGGGGCAACACCTTGATAAGAACTTCACTGGTAAGTCGTAGCCTCTTGTTGCAGCATTGGAACTTTACTAGTAAGATCAGTAAGGAATTATGTTTTCTTTTATCTAAATAGATTTGCAAGGAAATACTATTGCAGTTGGGTGCAACAGTCACAGGTCGAAGAGTAGTATTGCTGAAGTTTGGAGAAACCCAAACACCTTTTGTGATAGCTGGGACAACACCCGCAGTTCACTGACCTGCATAAGGGGGAGGACGACCGTGACCGACTCCTAAGGACGAGAAGGACCTCAGAGTTTAAGGTGGAACCAAGCTTGGGCTTGTCACGGATCGGAAAGCTCGATTAGTTAGGCAAAACCTTACACCTAGTGTTGCCCACAGCACCGCTATCTCCATAATATAAACACAGAAAGGACCAGTGAACTCCGAAAGAGAAGTCGCCATGCTCGCTTCTCATCATTAGAACGTGAAGCTTATCGAGTTGCTTCCTCTTCCTTTTGTTCGATCTCATTTCTGAAAAGAATCCCCTTCCATGCGAAGACCACCGTGGTTCTTGGCACACACTGCTTTCCTGCGAGACGTCCGTCACGATTGGGCTGATCTCGTTGATGTGTTCCCCACAAAGTTTGGTCAATGCCTGGCCCACAAACCCCCTTCACTTCTGGTGTCTTTCACACGGCAGGTGCATGTCAGGGCTGGTAAAGTGGTTGTACATAACGTTGTTGATGGAATTCATGCCCTTATAAACAATACTATTTGAATTCAAGATCATATTTTCCTTATCATAGAGTTACTTTTCGATAATTGAGCATTCTATTTCTCTCTCAGCTACTCAGTTAACTCTATAATTTCTGGCACAAGTGTTTAATGTATCTGAGAATCACATCTTCATGTGAGATTCAATGGTTAAAATAAAGTTGTTCTGTTCTTCTCCCACGAATATACTGCAAACACTGCTCTCCCAGTTCCTATCGAACCATTGCATTTGATGTATCTCGCTCTCTGCAGCACGCCACCTTCGACGAGCTTTCAGGAACCCATGCGAAAGGCGTCTACGAACTTCCTCAGCCTCTCAAACGTCGCTATTAAGCACTTTAACGACATCCATTTTATTGTGTGAACTCCTTGTTGAGCGATTCATAGTGTTGGTGAACAAAAGTACCACTGCTGATAAGTCAGCGCGGTTAGGTCCACGGGCCGATGTCGGGAGCTTCTTGCGGAGTGAGTAGGCTGATGAGGTGGCCGCATCTCTCTGTCTCCGGAATGGTTGGCAGCGCGTCCTCGTACACTGGATGGTGATTCCCGAGTTGAGATGCTCGCAGGTCGTGGGCGACCACCTTCCTGCAAAAATGACCTTCTTCGAGTGATCCCCGACTTTGGCCCCTCCGAGAGCAAGTCAGTGGAGTATTTGTTTTATATCGATCCCCCCTTTGGCAGAGTGCCGGTTAGGGGTTTTTATACTATCGTCCAGGATCGGTTGCACCTCGATTCGGTGTGGCTGCTGACCCCGTGAGATGGGACGACCTCTCTGATGAGCTGGCGTCTTGGGGGGATATCTGAGTAGCGTAAGATGGCACCGCCCCGAGCTCTCGAGATAGTCATGTCATAGAGTGTTTTGGTACGGAACCCGACTTAGCGTGCGTCATGGGGTTATGACGGCGTGTAACATTGAGTTCTGACACTGGTTGGGATGAGGACCAAAATATGTCTTATCACTTCTCTCCCCCCCCAAAGGCGTGTCGCGGGGTCCCTAATGGACCAGGAGGCATGCCTTGGTCCGAATGACGTGATTGTGTTGGCTGCCCACACGGGGAAGCTAGATTGACTCATTGGGAGGCGATTTAGAGGGGTGATGCCCTGTGATTCGAGCAGGACTGACCCTACTGATCGAATGATAGGGACCTGATGAGGCGAAACTGAAGTGTCGAAACCGGTGAGGCAAGACCTGTGCGGTGAGCCCGATGTGTCTTAGTTTAGATGACGGGTTTCCCGGCTCTGGGTTACGGTCGCCAAGTTGGTAAGTTAGCAAGCAAGTCAGAGTGGCTCGATTTAGAGACTTGACGGGCAGCAACTTGGATTAGCGGACTAGGCTGGTGATTCAGGCGCTAGATCGATTGAGATGTGACTCGGGCATAAGATTGACTACGAGGTGTAGCTCGGGCGTTGGATCGGGCCTGTGGGCTGAGTGACCGGATACAGCTCCGGTCTTAGTGCCGATGGGTCGCAAGTCGAGAGCGATATGGAGTGACCCGAGCAGGAATCGAACCTGGGGGCCAAGTGATTAAGCTCGATTCCGGTTTCGATGCTGACGAGTCGCTAGTCGGGAGCGATCTAGAGCGACCCGGGCAGGAATTGAACCTGGGGGCCGAGTGATTAAGCTCGGTTCCGGTTTCGATGCCAACGAGTCACAAGTCGGGAGCGATCTGGAGCGACTAGGGCAAGAATCGAACCTGGGGGCCGAGTGTTTAAGCTCGGTTCGGGTTTCAGTGCTGACGGGTCGTAAGTCGGGAGCGATCTGAAGTGACCCGGGCAGGAATC